GCATAAAACAAATGAGTAAGAGCGTAAGTGTTCGGGTGAACACTAGGATGCTCCCCTAAATTCCTGTGTGTTCAGAGAGGAGCTTTTGGGAGGCAGTTGGCCACAGGCGGGCTGAAGGTGCTGTCAGGCGTGAGCCAGGACTTTGCCTCTGCTCACCCAGCCCTCTATCGGGCTGCTTCTGTGTGGAAGCCCGCGGAACATGGACTGATGCTTGTGAACACCGTCAGCCAAAATAACCTCTTCTCCTCTACATCCTGGGAGGCAGGCGTTTGTCCACCAGCAAGAAAGTGACCAAGTCAAAGAGACCTGCATGAGGGCTTAGGCTGCTGTGACGAAATGCCAAGACTGTATGAATTCAACACAGTTTATTTCTCACAGCGCTGGAGGTGACAGTACAGCCCCAGTGGGTTCCAGGACCGCCCTCCTCCCGCTCCCAGATGCTGCCTCCTCTTCGTCTTTCTCTACAAGAGTGGGGGTCCCATCTCCAGGGCCCCCCTTCACGCTGTCCCCTAAGTGACCTCATTCTGTCCCAAAGGCTCCCTCACACGCGGGGCTCACAGAATCAGCATATGAATGTGGAGGGGCCAGAAGCATTCAAGCCATAAAAAAACCTCTTATTCAAAAGTATGGCTATAAAATATATTTTTAGATTCATGATACAGCCTCTATGTCTATCATACAGACATGGATGAATGAATGAAGCAAATGTGATGTTTATACACCATGGAGTACTACCCCACCAAAAAGAAGGATAAATCTGAATCATTTCTAAAAAAATGGAGAGCCAGGCATGGTGGTGCACGCCTGTAATCCCAACACTCTGGCGGCTGAGGCAGGAGGATCACTACAAGTTCGAAGCCAGCCTGCGCTTTATAAGTGAGTTCAAGGCCAGCCTGCACTGCTTAGTGAAATCTTGTCTCAAAAAAACAATAATAATAATTATAATATTAATATTACAGAATTTTTTTAAAAAATGAATATACCTTGAGGCCATAATGTTAAGTGCAATAAATCAGACACACAAGCTTAAATATCACATTTTTTCTCTTTTATGAAAAACTCAAAATGTAAATAAAGAGCAAAGTAAAAGGTAAATAATAGGAAGTCGAGAGACAGATCATTCTTAAACAGAAAGGGGACTCAGAGGTCCAGAGAGAAAAGGGGGAGGGAACAGGGATTTGAAAAGTGAGTGAAGATGTGTTATGTGCATGGGCCAGCTCCCAAGGAATGTGAACAGGTACTAATGAAAATGAATAAATTGTGATACAGTACTGTCCACTAAATAAGATCAGCCTCAAGTCTAATGCCAGCTGTAATTCTGAAGTGGCAAAGGGAGAGTGCATGATATCGTGAGGTGTCTGCAACTACTGCGGTGTGAATGAAAATAACAGTGATTTCTCTTCGTGGTGAAATCTCAGGAACGGCTCAGGCTGCAGTCATCTGTCACCTACCTCTGCGAGTGGAAGAAACACCAAGCATCAGTCAGAGGCTGGTGAAAAATAAAGCGTTCTATGAACCCCACAATCCACCCTCTTGCTCCAACCGTGCCTTTTAGAAACGAGGAGGCCAGGCCCCCCTCCCCACCAGGTGCTGCCCAAGGCGCCAGCTCCAAGCAGAGCTGAGCGTGGGAGGAGACTGGGTGGCCAGAGGGCGACGCTGGAGACCTGGCTTCTGGCTAACGACTCCACTGCGTCCGCCCCCCTTAAGGAGTGCTGCTCCGTCCCGGAAACCTGCTTGGAATCTGTCCCTGGCACCAAGGCCCATTTTCCATCTGTGTTTCAGTTTCCTCTTCTGCAAAACGAGACCGGCCGAGGTGAGCTCTGAGCGCAGCACCTGCGCGCAGTTCAGATCAGAACATCGCACACAGAAAGCCTCCACGCTGCCTGAGCCCCTGTCTGCCTGGCCCACAGGTCCTCTGTCTGCTGAGCTGCAGGAGCCTGGGTATTAAAGATCTGTTGGGCACAACCGGTTCCACTTGGAGATCTGTCTCCACCCTCTATGTCGCTCCAGCAGGAGGAGCCAGACAGAGCTTCCAACCTGCCTGCCCTGCAGGCCTGGCCCTCGTAGCCAGGCCACGGTGAGGGGGTCTCCGCTCACAATACTGTGTGTAGGGGAGAAAGACAGACCACCTCTGAAAGAAGGTTCACAACACGGTAATTTTCTGCAAAAGGACAAACTGCAGACACTGAAAAGCATGGCTGATTTGGGGAAGTGGGGACAGCAAAGAGGAGACAGGGACCTCAGAGAGCGTTTGGGTGGAGACTCGGGTGACCTCACCCTCAGGGTGGGAGCCACTCGAAGGAGAGCCTTTTTCCTGCCATTCTAATCTTTGCGCCCCATTCTGACCCCTGTTCAGGATCAGCAGCACCTTCTGCAGGGCCCAGCACGAAGTGAAAACTTTTATTAAAAATTCAGAGATGGCAGAAAATGTGGCATTTATACACAGTGGAGGGCTACTCTGCCACAGGACAAATTGAGAAGCTAACGGCACACCTATAATCCCAGCACTCAGGAGGCTGAGGCAGGAGGATCATCATGAGTTTGAGGCCAGCCTGGGCTACATAGCGAGTTCAAGGCCAGCCTGGATTTCATGCCCAGACCCTATCTCAATAAAAAAAAAAAATATATATATATATATATATATATATATATATATTTATACACACACAAGATAGACAACAGGAAACGGGCAGATAGAGCTTTTGCAAAAGGGAAGGGAAAAGGACCAAGAGAAGAAGGGACCAGGAGGGGAAGGAGATGAAAAGGAACAAAACGCCGTGTGCCCTGGGCCAGCTCCCACAGCAATGTGACCGTTATGTCCCGCAAAGTGCTAAAGGAAAACTATTCAAATTCGAAGATATCAAAAGGAGGCCGTGAGCCAAGGCGGTGCTCCCCGGCTCCCCTTCTCCGGAGCAGCACCTACCCAGGCCGGGGGCGCCGCTCCGGGTTCGTCCCGCCCCTTCCCTGCCGCACCGAGCGCTGCGATTGGCTGAGAGAACCGCCGGCCTGGACCCAGCTCTTCCCGCCCCCTGCGCTGCAGCGCGGGTTCCAGTGGGAGTCACTGCGGGAGGGCACTTCCTGTTCTCTCACTCCACCTGCTACAGGAAGCAGAAGGGGAGAAAAGAGGGGGTCGGAGTCTAGGGCCTGAAATGATCAAATTAAATTGCCAACATCTAGCCGGGCACGGTGGTGCAGCCTGTAATCCCAGCACTCCGGGAGGCTGAGGCAGGAAGATTGCAAACTCAAGTCCAGCATGGGCAATTTAGGGAACTTGGGAATAGTGTGTGGGGATGAGGGGGACAGAAAGACAAACAGAGAGAGACAGAGACACACAAACAGAAACACAGAGACAGACAGAGAAAGATAGACACAGAGAGACAGATAACACATTCAGCTCTTATAAAAATCTGCTCAGGCATATGTAACTAGAAAACATTTTTTTATTTAAAGTTTTTACTTTTCTCTTAACTGGCATTTACCAAGCACCAATGTAGGTATTAACAACACTAGAGCAAGGCAAAGTCCCTGATCCATCAGGCCTGATAAGGAAGTCAGACCAGGGAAAGGTAACAAGAAAGAAAGATTTTTAAAAAGTGCCAGACCTGGTGCCCATGTTTGTAAACCCAGCATTCAGGAGGCGGAGGCAGAAGGGTAGTGAGTTTGAGGCCAGCACCCAGCATAGCAAGACCCTGACAAAATAAGCAAATAAAGCTGGCTAGTCAACTGTGAACACTTATTTGTTTTTTTAAAAACATTAAGTAAAATGTCCCTAAATAATACCTTAAGAGTGGTTTTGCTGGCTAATGAAATTACAGACCATCTTTTTTATCTTGTGTAATTTTCAGTCTCTATTACATTTGCAATGTTTATTATTACACTTATAAGACCCCCCCCCCGCCAAAATTAAGATTGGCCTGGGAAGTGTACTTGCCTAATAGGTGCCAAACAAACTTGAACACAGCACCAAGGTTTTAATGTTTATGCCTTTGACAATATAATAACGTTTCTGGGAAATCTATTTCCTAAGAAAATAATCTGAACTATGAATATATTTTATCATTATCATATTGTTTATAATGGTTTTTAAAATGAGCTGGGGTGCAACTTAAAGGCACAGCATATACCTGGCAAGTGCGAGATCCTGAGTTCGACTGCCAGTACAAGAAAAAAAAATTGAGAACTTTATGTTCAGGGCCAGTTGTTGGATTTTTCCTGAATTACTGTATTTCGAAAGATTGCGGCTGCACTTTAGAGATAGCGCCACAAGGTGGCAGTAGGGAGTTTCCGCCGCGTGTACTGTCCCCACCCCCACCCCACCGCCCACGTTAACTGGGAGCCCCGCAACCCCGCGACTGAGACTGCGACCGCAAGGCTTGTGCCCTGTGAGTTGTTTTCACCATGTGACCAAAAAGGAAAAAAAAAGGCTTTAACCTAGAAATAAGTTATTAAAATATACTTTTATAAATAAGTTATTAAAAACATAGACTAAATGAACATAGATACGTGTGTGTGTGTGTGTGTGTGTGTGTGTGTATGTGCGCACGCATGCGCATATCTGGATTTGCCAGAGAAATCGAATTAGCTCCATATGACATACGATGTGAAACATGAATGTGCTGTGTGATATTATATATGATATGATATGATGTGACATGCCATGCCATGATCTGGAATTAGCTCCTGTGATCAGGAAAGCCGAGAATCCCCCAATCCAGAGACCCGAGAGAGCCAGGCAGCGGTCCCAGTCCAGGTGCGTAGGCCTGCGGACTCCGGGCAGTGGTCGTGTGAACCATAGGCCAATCGAGGGCCGATCTGCAGGCTGCAGAGGCCAAGGTGCCACTTAGGCCCGGCTGGGCAGGAGTGACTTCCGGCTCCATTCAGGCCTCCAGTTGTCGTGAGTGTCTAGGGCACTCTGAACTCCGGGCAAGGTAAACACACACGCACGCCTTGTCGGGACACGGGGGGTACAGCGCTTGGAAAAGAAAGACAGGAGAGACACCTTTGCTGTCTGCACCGCGTTACACTGCACTGCACTGCACTGTACGCACAATCTTTATTTTAGGATTCATATATAGTAAACCCGATCAGTTCACAGAGCCCAGATAATTAAGTAGTGAAAAGGCATTCTTTGTGGCAAGCTACAACGTGACAGACTACAATGTTTATTTTAAAACTATCTAAGTGAAGTAAATAATCACAACCAGTTCTCACAACTTCTCTAGCCCAGGAAGAAATTCATTAGCTCAAGAATGTTGTTAATTTGTCTGCTGTTAGTGTCACAAAGGGTGGCCAGCCACTTCCTCAAGACTTCTGCAAAACAAAGCCAGCTCACAGTATGGATTCCAGAGGGTGAGGGCTCACTGAGAACAGGCATTCCCGTTCTACCTCCTTCTCGCATACCAGGGCGGCTATTGTAAATTGCAGGTTAGAGGGGGTTGGGCCTACAAAGTGACACCTCATCCCCCACACTTCCTTCCTTTTTATTTTTTAACAACAATTTCCATAAGATCAGGTTATTAATAGCATTTTGTCTTATGCAGTAAAAATACACAAGAACTATGGCAATGAGAACTATAATTAAACTAAGTCCCATGCCACTAAAAGTGTGGGTAATGCTCTGCCAGATTCCTTTGGAATCTAATCCTTTTAAAGATTGAGCAAGCAATTGCGCGAATTGTGCTAGAGATTTATCATCATTTTGCTTTGCAAAATCCTTGTCAATTTGATTATGTAAAGATTCTATTTCTTCCTGGGCAGAGGTGTTTCTATTTAAATATATTTTAATCATTTCTCATTTATGTTCTGTCTGATTATAAGGTCGTTGGGTTATACAGAAAGTAGTTGAATTCTAATCACATTTTAAAAACACTTGATGTTGAAGAGCCAATATTTTTCTACCCATCCATTTAACTGTTTGTTTAAGGAGGTCTATTTGTTGTTGTAGTCTGGCGTTTATTTGCCACTGAGTTAACCAAAGTTTATGAGAATTTTCATGCCATAATTCTATAACATGTTTTTTTTGTAAAGAGGTTTGTAAAGCTATTTTTGAGACTGCTGCTAGGGAGGCTACAGTTATCAGACTTAACAGTATAGCAACCACTATTTTAATAAATCTTTTTGTACGTTTTAACAGATGTTTAAAAAATTCAGTAGTAACAGAAATTACCGGGTCTTGAGACCATGGTCGAGTTAAATTTACAGGCAACCAAATATGAGTTTTTTGTTGTAACAGCATAACTGTATAAGGCTTAGTGAAATTTAGTGTGCTATTTAAGCATGTAAACAATTGACAATTTAAACAAGTACAAGAAAAATGTGTAAAATTAAAAGTTTCCACTAAAAAGACATAAGGCAGAGGTGCACAAACAGTAATATTATACATTTTAAACCTAGTAAAATTATAAGTAGTAGATACAGATCGACTAGTCCCTGAATATGAAACATTGTACAAGGTTACAGGTTGCATAGCGGCTGGAATCTTCCAAATATGATTTTGAAGGTGATGAGGGTATTCTTCGGCTGCAACAGCAGGGTTAGCGATTTCACCATCTCCCCACCACAAGAGAGCCGTCTTTTGATGAAATATAGGAGCTCCGTCAGTTATTTTCTTTGGATCTGGAAGACTATACACAACAGAGAGATTATATCTTGTCTCATTCTATTTAGCACATCTATTAACGAATTTTCCAAATGGTCCCCAAATAATATACCCATCAATATTTTTAGCAAATTTTTCCATACATAGTTGCCAAATTATGGGATTATAAGAAATATTTTTATAAGTGAATTCAGGGCATACAGGAAATGTATTTGTATCAGGTGCTGTTAAATTTTTCCAGGTAACATTAAAGGTTTGAGCAGCCAAGGCTTGAAGCCTTGTCCTTTTGTTGCCTGCTTTTATTCCATGTTGAATCCAATACTGCCATCCCAGAGGGATGCAAGGCGGTTCCCCAATGCAAATAGGCCTTTGATTACCATAATAAGTAAAATTGAATAGTGTCCCATCATCTTGATTGTGGGGGGTTAAATCAGCCCACGGTGCTGACAAAATTTTTCTAGGTGTGGTATAAAGTAAAATATCACTAGTTCCCCATTTTACAGGTTCTAATAAAGGGGGGTTTGGAATATATGCCCAGTACGAATGCGGAGGTACCTCAGTCCCCGATGCAACGGTGAGCAAGGCATATAAAGCTAAAAACAAGTTTTTGGGGTTTAAAGGCTTTCCTGCTTGAAGGACAAGCCGTTGCCCTTCTATGGTCAATTTCTTTAATTGTCCCCATGTAGGGAGGGGATTTAAATTTGGTCGCTGTGAGCGGCGGGATTTTCTTAGCTGTAATCTGGCCATGGCTGCGATAGGAACAAACTCAGCATCCTCAGCTTCTAGCTGGTTTTGCGCTCGCTTCTGAAGGCACGGTTCCGGTTCCTTGGGGAGTTGTCTCCGGGGCTGGTGAACAGGATCTGGAGACGCGGGTCCTGATCCATCGTCCAGGGACCCACTGTTGAATTTCATTTTCTGTGGAGATATAACCAAAACCTCTCCCCTTATAGAGCAATGTGCCCCTCTCTCATTCAGCCTCTGGAGCTGTTTTAGTCCAAATAGGTTCATTAATTACAAAGGGCTGTTGTTGCTGTTTAAAATGTTTTTCAGCTCTAGTTAATATTTCACCTTGTGGTAAATTGAGAAAATTTAAAATAAACAATGCTTGATGCAGTAATGTTTTTGGACTGTTTTGCAATTTAAACAGTATTGGTATCTGAATATCCTCCTGACTCCTCCTTTTTAATTTTTTAATTTGCAACTTAAGAGTGCCATGTGCTCTTTCAACAATAGCTTGACCCTGGGGGTTATATTCAATCCCTGTAATATGAATAATATTATGGAGATCACAAAATTGTTTAAATGTTCTGCTAGTATAAGCAGGTCCATTATCTGTTTTGATTTTAGAAGGAATTCCCATAACTGCAAAAGTCTCCAATAAATGTACAATAACATTTTTAGTGGATTCTCCCTGTTGAGCAGTAGCCCATAGAAATGAAGAATAGGTATCAATAACTACATGTACATAAGAAAGCCGACCAAAAGAAGGTACATGTGTAATATTCATTTGCCATAACTCATTAGGTTGAGTTCCTCGAGGGTTGACACCTGCGGGAATAATTTTTAAATGTAATGGTCTACAAATAGGGCAGGCTTTTACAATCTGTTTAGCTTTTGTAAAAGGTATCTTATATTTAAGATGCAAATGTCCTGCATTTGCATGATTAAATTGATGTTCTTCAACGGGTGTGGTGAACATAACTAAGGAATCCACTGCATTGTTACCTGATACTAATGGTCCGGGTAACTGAGAATGAGAACGTAAATGAGTAATAAAATAAGAATGATTTCTTTTTTGAACATGTATTTGTAAATTTTGAAATAAAGACAATAAAGCAGGCTTATTAGAATATAACACAGCTGAATAGATATTTGTCACTACTCCAACAGAATAGGCCGAATCGGCTATAATATTAATAGGTTGGTTATGAAAATCTAAAAACACTTGTAATATAGCAAAAAGTTCATTTTGTTGTACAGAGTTAAAATTTGTCTGACGTACCCAGTAAGATTTTTGAGTCCAATATGCAGCTTTATTTTTAGATCCATCTGTAAATATAGTCAAAGCTTGTGGAATTGGCTGTACAGCTAATAAGGTATTAACCACAAATTGTTGACGTCTAAAAAAATCCCATAATTTACTTTTAGGAAAATGATATGAAAAAGTTCCCATGAAATCTGCTAAAGCAATTTGTAAGGTTTCAGTAATTGACAACAAATATTCCCATTGTTCCTTAGTTAAAGGGATAACTATATTGTTTATATCTTCTCCTATTAAAGTTATAGAACGAGCTCTACCATTCATAATTAAAGCTGCAACCATGTCAATATAAGGCATAACATTTTTAGATTGCTTAGTTTTAGTGAATACCCATTCTACTGGCATAGCATTTTGACCTAAAACTGCAGAGGGATATTGAAAAGTATTAATAATATATAAAGTTAGAGGCAATTTAGGATCAATCCTAATTAAAAATGCATCCTTAATTCGTTGTTCTACAAACTGTAATTCTTGCTCTGCTTTTGCTGTTAAAGAACGAGGGCTGGATGGATCTGAAGAGCCCTGTAGAGTAGCAAACAAATGCTGTAATGCATGGGTAGGAATACCTAGTGTGGGACGAAGCCAATTAATATCCCCTAATAATTTTTGAAAATCATTTAAAGTGGATAACTTATCTCTCCTAATAGACATTTTTTGTGGAATCACCTTTTGTCTAGTAAGAATATATCCCAAATAATGACTAACTTCTTCCTTTTGAATTTTATCCTGTGCTATTACAAGTCCAAACGGAGAAAAATATTGAGGTAAAGTTTTTAAAATATCTTCTAAAACATTTCTATCACTATATCAGAATTTTTGTCTTGCCTTTTCCGCACAACCTTCCATAAACCACATGTGCCACTGTAAATATTTTGGCTCCTTTAAAAGAATTTTGGCCAAGGCTTTCCAATCATAAGGAGCAAGATTACCATAGTGATCTGCTACCGATGTTATTAATTCTCTAGTGTAATGAGCCTGAGGGCCATAAAGGGTTACAGCCTTTTTTAATTTTGCTAAATCATCCATATTAAATGCTTCCCATCTAGGGGGAACTGCCTCTCCGTCTATTGGCTGAGGCCTGATTACAGGGAAAGCAAAGGCAGGCTTTTCCTCATCAGAATCCCCTAATTTTGGTAGATCAGCCAAAGCTAGCTTGGCTTTACTCCAATTAGGGTTAGATGGAGGAGGTGTAGAGGGAACTATAGGCGGGTTTTGCTTAACGGAGAGTTGTTTCACCTCTTGTGTTAAATGTTGTATAGCCTGTAAAATTGGGCGATTGTCATAATTTGATATTGTTGCGGCAGCTAAAGCTGAGTCGGCTGTAGTGGATTTTACTTTTAGTTTGGACGCCTTTTCACTACTTAAAGCGATAGCGTCATTTTGAACTACATTCTGCTCCTCCTCTGTGAGGGGCAATTCCTGAATAACTGGCTTAATTTCTAGTTGAAGATTTTCTACAATATGTTCATCTTCCATAGCTTTTAATAAAGAGTACACAACCGACCAAATAGCCCAAAAACGTAAAGGAATCTTCTCCTCCTGTTGCATAGCCCTTTCTATACTAACCCTTGCCTTCCTCCATACTTCTACATCCAAAGTTCCTTCATCTGGAAACCAAGGATTATATTCTTTAATTGTATCAATACACATATCCAAGTCAGCTGACCTGAGCGATATGCCATATATAGATAATAAATGTTTAAGAATTTTTAAGAAAGGAGAGGAAGCAGATTGTCCCATTTCCCCGTAATAAAATTATACTTACCTTCCTAAGCGACCTTCGGAGTCCCTGAATTCGGGCGCCACTTGTCGTGAGTGTCTAGGGCACTCTGAACTCCGGGCAAGGTAAACACACACGCACGCCTTGTCGGGACACGGGGGGTACAGCGCTTGGAAAAGAAAGACAGGAGAGACACCTTTGCTGTCTGCACCGCGTTACACTGCACTGCACTGCACTGTACGCACAATCTTTATTTTAGGATTCATATATAGTAAACCCGATCAGTTCACAGAGCCCAGATAATTAAGTAGTGAAAAGGCATTCTTTGTGGCAAGCTACAACGTGACAGACTACAATGTTTATTTTAAAACTATCTAAGTGAAGTAAATAATCACAACCAGTTCTCACAACTTCTCTAGCCCAGGAAGAAATTCATTAGCTCAAGAATGTTGTTAATTTGTCTGCTGTTAGTGTCACAAAGGGTGGCCAGCCACTTCCTCAAGACTTCTGCAAAACAAAGCCAGCTCACAGTATGGATTCCAGAGGGTGAGGGCTCACTGAGAACAGGCATTCCCGTTCTACCTCCTTCTCGCATACCAGGGCGGCTATTGTAAATTGCAGGTTAGAGGGGGTTGGGCCTACAAAGTGACACCTCATCCCCCACATCCAGTGACTTGGCTGAAACTGCTCCTGCAGGCAGAGAATTGGCTGTACCCAGTCCGCTGATTCAAGTGGAACCCCAGCCAGAACCACCCAAGGCAGACGAAGGGAGAAAGGAAATGTGTTTACATGCAGGAGTACTACTTAGTCGTAAAGAAGGTCACATCGGAGTTATGTGGAGGAAAGTGGATGCACCCTGAGGTAGGATAGAAGACACAAAGAGATAGGCACAAAGGAATTCAAGGAAAACTGGGGTTGTAAAATTGTACTTTTAAGGAAACAGCTTCAGGACACAAGTTACTGGAGGTTTTTTCCTTTTTTGAGAAATTCACTCTAAAACAAAAAAAAGCCCTACGGGTTTTACAGACTCACTGAGCCCGCAGACCAGGGGCTGGGCTTCACACCTGGAAAGCGCATTTCCCCCTGCGCTCCAGGGAGCTGCACTGCAGCTGCAGCAGATCGCACCTGGAGACACCTGGAAACGGGGCGCAGCCACCGTGGCCCTGCAGATGGGGCACCGGCCCCTCTGGACACCCGAGACCCGGGAAAACACGCACCGAGCTCCGCATCCCAGGGCCTCTCCCTCCTGAGCCGCCCTCCGTTCCTCTGAGCGCTTTTTGAATCTCGGCCCAGGAAACGCCCGGTGCTCTGCGGACTCGTCCGGGAAACCCTTCCTTCCCCGGACCAAAGGCAGCTTAAATCTGAGCGGCGGGCGGAGGGCGGGCTCGGGGCCGATCCCCCGGCACCCTGCCTGGTGACTCCCTCCCCTCCTAGCCTCGGCCCCTCCCCGCCTGCAAACGGGCCACCTCCCTGTTCCCCGTCCTCTACCAGCGTTGCACTTTCAACGCCAGCCTTGGACGTTGGGGGGTTCTGATGGCGACTCTGTGCTCAAGTACAACACAGAGCTAGAACTGCCACCTCCACACCGTATTCAGAACCACTTTACTTAATAGGTTTTTTTAAAGTCATTCTTTTATAATAAAAATCTACAGTATAACTTTTTTTTTTTTTTTTTTTTTGACTGAGTCTCTCTGTGTAATGCAGGCTGACCTTAAAGTCACCGTGTAGTCCAGGCTGGCCTCAGAGTTGTAGCGAGCCTCCTGCCTCAGCCTCCCAAGTGCTGGGATTACTTACAGGCGTGCACCACCACACCCGGCTGCAGTATAGCTAGACTTTTCCTTTTTAAAAATCCCACGCCATTTCCAACTCCCAAGACCTCGTGTGAACCTTTCTTGGTGGGACCCACCATGCGATCCAGCCAGGGTGGTGCCACCTACCCCTCCGCCCCGGGGCCCTTTGTGGCCCTCGGAAAACAGAATGAAGCAGGCTCCTGGGTTCTGCTCCCACTTCCTGTCGGTCCCGTCTCAGGAGGAGGACTTCCCTCCGCGCGTGGCCTCTAGTCAGATCTCCCTGGCGGTCGGCCACCATTTCCCTTTTTGTTCCTTGAGATATAGGAGCAGCCCTGGCTCCTCCCGCCCTGGCAAACCCCTTCCTTTTTCACTGTGTGTTTGCCTGGTGCGCAGCGTTGCAGACGAACAGGACCAGCCACTTCCCCTTCCACCTTGCCAGTTCCTTCAGAAACCAAGATTCAAGTTTCAGAATCCCAAAATACACCAGCGCGTTCTGCTCAGAGAACCGACAGTGCACTAAGCTGCTATCCACGCTAAAATTCATAGTAGTAGCTTTAATTCCATCCCCACTCAACTGCTAGCATAAACTTGACACGAGTATTTTACGTAGGCCTCTAATTCTCAATACTTAGAACAAATAAATGCTCTTCACAAATCAGCCTCTTTGTAATTCCAGCACTCAGGAGCTGAGACAGGAGGATTGCTGAGAGTTTGGGGCCATTTGGGGCTACCTAGTGAGAACTTGTCTCAAAAAAATTAAAAAATGAAAAACAGCCTCTGCATTTGAACCCTTGGAAGTGGAAGATTACAATTTATCCCCAGAGAGCAATCAGCACTGACACCATCCCTCTCTGTTGAATTAACAGAGCCAGGGTTTTGCTAGGACCAGGATTTCCCAAAGCAGACTGTGTAATGCAAATTTTTGCTTTGCCTCCATAGTGAACAAGGTAAAAGGCAACTGCTACCACAACTGTCTCTTTCTTCAACCAAAACAAGTAGCTACAGAACTGAATTACTTCAGTACATATACACTGATACAATCCTGTAAGGATAAAATATAGTACATGAAGCCAGGCTTGGTGATGCATGCCTTATCTTAGCACTCAGGAGGCTGAGGCAGGAGACTGCCACAAGTTCAAGGCCAACTTGAACTACAAAGTAAGATCCAGTCTCAAAAAACAAAGGCAAACAAAAAACAAATGTGCATGTATGTATAATGAAAACAACTTATGGGTTTTACTCTAATCAGTGATAGAAATTTAGACTAGTTTAAAAAGAAGCAGTCAGCTTTATATTGCTTTATGCTTAAATCACAAATGTCTCTCAAGAATAGAGGCTGTTTTCTATTTAATGGAAACCAAAGCTTAATTTTAAGATTTATTCATTCATCAAACATTAACTTAGGGCTGAGGATATAGCTCAGTGGCACAGCACCTGCTTGGCAAGCTTGAGGCCCTGGATTCAATTTCCGGTACCAAAAAAAAAAAAAAAATACTTTGGAATTTCAAGTATTGGAATATGGACAGACCGGAGGCCAGCATAGAAGAAAGTCCTTGCTTCAAGGAACTTATCATCTACAGTGCTTAGCAAAATACAGCACACATACAGTGACTCAGAGAAACTTTTTTTCTGGTTTTTGGAGACAGGATATCACTGTGTAGTTCAAGCTGGATTTAAACTCACTACATAGCCCAGGGTGACCTCTAACCTAAGGTAATCCTCCTGCCTCAGTCTCCCAAGTGTGGGAAATACAGGTGCATACCACTACGCCTGGAGAATTATTTGGATTTGAGGGTCTTTAAACCAGAGTTGTCAGACAAAATATAGGACCCACCAGGTATATTTGATCTTCATAAATAATAATTTTAGTATCAGTATGTTGTGCACTTAAAGTATTCATCATTCACCCAAAATTCTAGTTTCACAGGTTATCCTGTGTTATGATTCGCTAAACCCGGCCACCTTGTACTTAAGACAGTGAGGTGAAGGAAGAATCCTAGCCGAGTGGAGCCGGCCAGATGAGCTTCACCGGGAATGTAAGCTTCAAGCCAAGTGCTGACGGAGCTGAGGGCAGAGGCAGGTCCCCGTGGAAGCCGTGCAGGGGCCCTGATATCCAGCTGAGCAAGTAATTCCTGATTAGGACAGCATCCATGGCCAGGCCCCAGGGCGACAGAGCTGGAAGAGGGTTTTCAAGGTAAGTAAGGGCCCTGAAAGTCACCAATGTGAATGAGTGATCACCGTTTTTATTTTATTTTTTTCTTTTTGAAGTGATCGCTTTTAGCTGGATTTATTTCTATGGAGTTTGTATCAAGGGTAATCTTCCCCAATAAGACCTTTCTTTTTAACTCTCTTCTCCATATGTAGCCAAGACCACAGGGGTCAGTGGTTCGGGGAGAGTAGGATTTAAACCTAGAGGTCTTCATCCATCCAGGTTATGCATATGGACACTGCAGGTGGAGTCCCACAGCCATGCATCTCAGGCTCGAAAATGTCTCTCAGACACAAGCATTTGCTACCCCAGCGTCTCCCAAAGCTAGAGTCCGCTACCTGGAGACTCTTGTCTGGGTGGGGGATCAGCAAGGTGGACAGGAAAGCAGGGCAGAGGCCTAACATCTGTGCACAAGAAAGGGGCGGCCCTGAGCCGGGGCGGGGAGCTCACAGCCTGCACCGTGTTCCTGTTACTGCAGAGAAGGGTGCCAGGAGGAAGCGAAATAGCGAAAGGAATTATGAACCAAAACTCCTTGTCTTTCTGCTTTCAAATCTCCGTTTCTCTGACCTAGCAACCCTGGAGGGAGAAATCGGTCTCAAACATGCATGGGCAAAGCTCCAATGAGATATACACAAGGGTACCCCCTGGAGCACTGTTTGCAACAATGACGATATGAAAAATATGGGAAAGTCAGAATGTCCATGAGGCAGGGACGAGTGGAATAAGCATGGGGCACCCACAGGATGAGCCTTCAGAGGGAGAGGAAGGCCAGGGGGTTGCTCAGTGCAACAGGTCTGCCAAGCTCTGCAAGAAAGAAACACGGGGCCAGGTATACAGCTCAGTGGCTTAGTGGCTGCCTGGCAAGCCCAAGGTCATGAGTTCGATTCCTGGTACAAATTTAAAAAGATGGAAAGAAGGAAAAAGAAAGGGAGAGGAGACATTGGTGAGGAAAGCAGTATCTAGGATATACAGTATGCTTCAGCTTATGTGAGAACCAAGTATACACATCTGTTTGCTTCTGTTTAAGAATATATATGACTATATTTTTAAAACAACAAAAATCAGACCATACAGTAAAATAGTAATATCTATAAGAAAGGAAAGGGACAGAAACTAGACCTAGGCTTCTTTAAATGTGGTTTATTAGGTAGATTTAACTGTAGGGATCATGCAAATATTTAGTAGTTTATAATTATATTATGAAAAAGATATCCAGAAGGCTAAAAACTAAAAGGAAATAAATGAAGGTAAATGTGTATTTAGTCAGTGGCATAATGACCAAAGAGGAAAATTCTACATGACTTACAAACACAGTAATTTGACTGTACTCCCAGTGGGATCTACTCTATGGACGACAGAAGCGTAAGACCAGATGTAGTGGTGAACGCTGGTAATCCCAGTACTCAGGAAGCTGAGACAGCAGGATCACCTCAAGTTCGAGGCTAGCCTGAGCTGTATAATGAGACCCTGTCTCAAAAAACAAAGCGGGGGAAAAAAAAAAAAAAAAGTGTAAGAAAAAGTAACAAAAGATCTCTGAAGCTCTGGGGTCATGTTGCTGGTGTCTGAGGTTGTCATGTGTATAAAATAGAGGACAAAGAAAATAAGTAGATTTCTGATATTTGACTTCTCTCACAGTTCATGAGAATTGAGATTGTTGGCATGGGAGGAAGCAAAGAAATAATTTAGATAAAAGATGTCAATTAGAAATCCTACAGTCATAACTTTAAATACGAAGTATCATGCAAACAAATGATGAATTGTACCTGTAAAACAATAATAGAAATGATATCTTGGGGCTGGGGATTTAGCTCAGCGGCATAAGCACCTGCCTTGCAAGCAGGCAGTCATGAGTTCGATCCCCGGTACCGATAAAAAAAGAAAAAGACAAAAAAAAAAAAAAAAAAAAAAAGAAATGATACCTTCTGGGTCCAATCCTTGAAAAGATAACAAAAGCAATAACAGAAAACACTCCAGAAAGAAACAAAGTCAGTAGCCTCGAGCACTCTAATGCCCCAGAAGTGACCTTGAAAACCATTTCTACATAAAGGAACAGTGGAACCTCTGAAGAACCAATTCCAGAGGCAGGAGAAATAGAAGATGAGTCTGGAGAACACTGTCACACAGGACAACTTGCTGTGTACCACCAGGAAGGCTTGCTGGCCCAGTTACTGAGGCCTGGCTCCCTTTGGTTCGCCTCCCGCCACAATCCTGATGTCTTTGTTCGTGCTGGCTTGCTCAAGGGCCCAAACCCTGCCTGGCTGTGTGTTAATTTCTATCTCACTTAGCTGTCTATAACACTAGCAAGCTGCGCACACTATTTTGAAAACTGATCAGGAGCAAGGCGTGGTTGTGCATATCTGTAATCTCACCTACTTGGAAGGCTGAACAAGCAGGATCACAGGTTTGAGACCAGTGGGGCAACTTAGCAAAAACTCATCTCAAAGTAAAATTTGGGCAAGGCCTGGGGAAGTAGCTTTCTGGCTGAGCAAAGGCAAGTCCACGCTCCAGTGAGGGAAGGAAGAAAGGAAAGGGGAATTGAAAATTTATCCTACAACATTTTTGTTACTAAAAACCGAAGCTGGAATCTGACAAAGCTTTAAAATGCAGTATCAACTCACAAGAACAAGAGGAGAGAAAAACACTTTTAATACACTATGGGGGAGCAAGTAGCAAAATCCAGGTGACCGATGTTTTAAATGTTTTCACTGCAAGGGCAAAAAAGAAAGAAAATGCTAAGGATATAACTCAGTGGCACAGTGCCTGCCTGGCAAGCTCAAGGTTCTGAGTTCAATTCCCAATACAAAAAAAAAAAAAAAAAGGGAGAGACAGTGTGAAGAAAACTACATATTAAAAAAGTCTTAAAGGACTTCTGGAAAGATTGAAGAGTAATGAACATCAGAGAAAGAGCCTCTCTGAGATTTGGTGTCCAGACCCTGGAATCAGCAAGATGAGGAAGAGAAGGAGGTTAAATAAGTCTGTGGGGCCAGCAAGAATCGAAATTGAGAACTGAGCCAATGGGGAGAGCAAAGAGAGAGACTTCGATGAAGAAGAAGGAGGAGACAGGCACTGCTTTCTCCCTGAGCTGGACGTACTCACTGTGTGACAGGGGCAGCTCGAATCAGCAGATGCACAGTGACAAATGGTGACCCCAGACGCCTCCTCACAGGAACACGCCAGTTGAGTGGAGCAGTCACAAAGCAGACTTTCAGGTTTCAGTGTCCCCCTGGAGAGGGTGAATGGCCTGGAGTCATCCTGGAGAGGGGCCAACTAAGCTCAAGAGCAGAGGCAGAGCAAAGATGGCAGATAGATAACAGCTGGCTTCAGAGGCTCCCTGAGTAGTCAACCTAGAATTCAACATAATACAGCGTGGGGACCCCCGAACAGAAGGAGATGAATTCTCTTGTCCTAAGAAGAAATTAAGGTGAGAAAAACCAATAAAACATACAGTCCCAGTGCTATTATTTGACCAGCTAAAGGTTCAGTGCTCCTATCGCAGTGGGCGACTTGCTGAGCCATCCAAGGTCCTGCCGCTTCAACTCACTGGAGGCGCAGTCACACTGAAGTCAAGGCTCCAACAGTCTAATGGAAAACTTAGCTGGCGGGGATCCTGCATCAGCCTGTGGTGAGTGACAGGAGTGGAGAATTCCACAGAAAAGGGGGCTCCAGCGGACAACATTGTGTGACCAGGCAGGACTGGCAAGTACTAGGGGCAGCAGTGACTTCAGTCAGTTGTTCCCTTCCCAAATGGGATTGGTGGAGTGAGCTAGGCCTGGGTCACATGACCTGGCTGAGACCCAATAGGTTATCCAAAATCAATTCCCTATAGCAGTAATGCACACTAATGCAATGAAGGCATCAGCTGACTGACCCGGAGGGGAAGAGCCAGCATATGCTGCCCCTGTTTGCAACTCACTAATACACTGCAGTGGGAAGGGTCACCTAGCAGCATGCTTCAGAAGAATTGTAACCAACAAAGAAAGAAACTGGAGCCTCTTGGAAGAAACAAAAAAGATGGGAAGAGGAAGCAACAAGAAAAAGTCCCCAGGTCCCAACCCTGAGAACATTGACCCAGGACAGGTAAATACAAAGGAGAATGAGAACAGCAACATGCAATATCAGACACGGCACCAGTGGACATAAAGAGATATATTCAGGACCTCATAGATGAGTTCAAAAGGGAAATATTTAGTCAATTAAAGCAAGATATAAGAAGATTAATAAAAAAGAGGCTAAGTACCCCTCAAGAAGACACAGATGGAAGAAGGGAGGAACTCAAACAAAGGAGAGAACCATTTGATGAAGAATATAAAGAAAATATAGAATACATGAAGCAGATTCAAAGACATTGCCAGGAAATTAAAAACTCTGTGGAAAGATGGCAAATCTGTCTGAAAGAAACTCAGGATAGATTATGCAAACTGGAGGACAGTTTTGCAATGTGGGATTATGAAAGGAAAAAATTTTAAAAACAGCAAGGAAACAAGCAGTGACAATACAAAAGCAAGAAGACAACAAGAAGATCTTTAACTTCAGAATAAAGAATGTGAATGAAGAAGCTGGGGTACAAATAAAGGAACTACAAAGGCTATTCACAGAAATAATTAAGGAAAACTTCCCAAACATAGGAAAAGGAAATGATATTCAGATGTATGAGGCATACAGAACTCCAGCCACCTACACCAAATAGAGCTACACCCAGGCATATAATAATCAAGATCCCAGAAATTCAATATAAGAACAGAATATTAAAAGCTGTTAGAGACAAGAAACAGATCACCTATAAAGGAAGGCCCATCAGAATAATGGCAGACATCTCAACACAAACCATCAAGAAGAGCCTGGAGTGAAATATTCCAAGCCCTGAAAGAAAATAACCTCCATCCCAGATTGATATACCCTGATAAACTGTCTCTAGAAATTAATTGAGAAACAAGATGCTTCCAAGACAAATACGCAATCACCAATCCACCTCTACAGAGAATACC